CCGAGGGCTTCTTTTCGCCTTCACATCCTATTAGCTATTTTGGCGCTTTGACTTAAAAGACGCTCTCTTTTTTCCTGCAGGTTTTTAAGCATTTTCAGCTTGTTTGTAAAGTGGCTTAAAAGCTGACTGTGTGTGGGTGTGTGTGTGTTCTCCTAACGCTTCCCCAGCTGTGTTTAAGCTTTACTTGCCATTTAGCCCCAAGCTACTATGGATGGCCAAAGTTTCTGGCAACGTCGTAAGCCGGAGGTTGGCTTTGGCCAATTCTAGGCGCTTTTTGTTATGAGTTCTTCAGGCAGGGTCTCTTTCCCTTAGTCGCTTCTCACCTTTACCTGGCGTACGCTTCATTGGAAAGCATTTAGGAAAGTTTTTCGATGGCGCCAACTTTAATAAACGCCCCGCCGACGACGACAAGGATGCGTTGTGAATTTAATTTTCAACTTGTCTGACATTCCGTAATTGAAAGCACAGACATTGACACTTGACACAAACACCCCGAGGAGAGGGGTGAGTGGCGAAGGGGGTATGCTGGGTCCAAGACCGGTTCGAGGGCTGCGTATGGCGCATTACTAATACGCAGTGTGTGACAACCACAAGAGACAATTTGGCAGCTGCCAAAGGGTTGGCTGCCACACACAGACACTGGAAAAGGTGGCAGCCAGCGGGAGGTGGTGGCAGGCGTAGGCGGCAACCGGAAAGGCTGCTGCCGTTGCAGTTAAACATTCTGCACTGTCAGAGACACACACATGCAAACACACATGCCGATTCAGGCAAAGAGTCACGCACACACACATACGAGTTGTGAGGCGAGATGAGGGCGTGATGGGGGATCTCCAGGGAAAAAAGGATATATGTATAGATTCATAGCAAAAGTCATGTTGAGAGAAAGAGAAAATAATGTGGGAAAAATAGTTGGAAACTAATATTTCAATTAAATTTTATTTAATAAGCAGATACCACAATTATAATATATTTATTCTTTCCTGATCCTTTAAATGGGTTTTTTCTTTATTTATTTATTTGAATACAAGTATTATCATTAGTAGGTCTTATAGTTTTCAATAATATTTCTTTCCACTCACGTTGCCATCACTCTTGGCCGAATCCAGGAGGCATCCACAGGCGCACAGGCATTGTGTGGCTGTCTCGAAAAACCAAAAATCGTGAGCGCAGGCGAGAGGATTTCGATGGATGGTGTGGAGCACGGGGGTGAGGCTGGATCCAGGCAGGACCAAGGATGGCAGGATGCCCGTCCTGCCCGTCCGTCCGATGCTCGAGTGGCCGCAGGGCAATTGGATATAATTTCTAATTACACGCTTGGACGGACTTTTTACTGTCAGCTTAGTTTACTGATGTCTCTATATATTTCTGCTCCTTGTGTTTTCCCCATCCCAGTGTGAGTGTGTGTATGTGCTGTGTGTAATTTGGTGAATGTACAAGTGTAATTTGGCATTTTGATTTTTAATTGTTTGCCCATACAGCTGGCAGGCATGGAAAAATAATTTGCACAATGCAATACAAGTACTTGGGTTCTTTAATTAAGACAGGGAACTGGCTTGCAATGGTAATTGTGGGAATTACAAAACCTACTCTACACACACATGAGAATTTGCATATTATAATTCCTGAAACAGTCCTGAAGCAACTGACAGACGACGACGACCCTCATGCTGTTGTCCTGCTGCTGCTTTTGCTGCTGCTTTTGCTGTTGCTTTTGCTGTTGTTGCATCTTTGCCATAAATTGCTGCTGCAATTGCAATTGTCGTTGCTCTCTCTCTCTTTCGCTTTGTGCTTTGGTGCTTTCATGCTTTTCTGGTGCTTTCTGCTGGCGATGTCAACACTTGAACACGCGCCAGCAGAGCAGCCTGGCAAAAAGAGCGCCCGGAATTATGCAACAGATTCAGAATTCTGAATTTTTGGCTCCTGCGAGTTTATTTTTGCGCAATTACAAAAAAGAGCGCGGCAAAGAGTAAAAAATTGTGCACAACATCGCTGACATCGCCAGCTTCAACTGTCAACTGTCGGCGACATTTTTCAGTCCTTGCTAGTGGCATCCTTTTGTTGCCTTTGCTGATGTTGTTGTGTCTCAGATGTTTGCTGCTGCTGCTGTTTCACGCCATTATATTGCAATATGATTATTATGCGAGCACACCAGAGTGTTGACGTTGTCACGTTTTGTTGCATGTCAAGTGCAAGGCGGTCCTTGCTGCCTACTTTCGCTAATTAGCCCATTTCCTTTTTATGGAAAAACTGCAGGCAACAGCAGCAAAAGTCGCAATTGTCTCTAGATTTGTAAAGCCTGCTCAGATAATGGTAGCATTAATGTTAAAAACTGGAAAAGTCCATGCCATCAAAAGGCTCTAAAAGAAATTAGTTTATTAAATACATCTCATTAGAATCTCTGTATTATGTATGCAATTCTTTTAAAAAAACATCTTCTATAATTTATGCCAATTAACACCCTGATTTATTTGCCAATTCAAAAGATTTCTGCTACTCCTGAAACTGATTTTAATTTGACTTTAATTGTTTTTTTGTGGGAAATATGTTGCAGGATAATAAACATACTTAAATCTGTTTCAGAAGTCTCACTCACGGAAAGGCCTAAGGTTTTTAAATTTAACAGGCAAACTTAATATAAACAAACTATTACAACAAGAGATTTTGAAGAGCAAATTCATATTAAAGCTTAAATTTCATAGAAAACAAAGCTATAAATAAGGAATAATAATATAGCCTTGCAAATTATTAAAACTAAAGTTAGGCATTACGTTTTCCCTTCTTATTCCTTAAGTTTATTTAAATATATTACCGAATGTTCACTGTAGTTGGCTAATATATCTCTCAACTCTATCACTAACCGACCACACACACTCTTTTGGCCTTGGGCGGCGGCACCAGCATCGTCCGCAAATGTTGAACTTTTTGGAGTTGTCCAAAGTGGTCAGGCGGGAGCAGTTGCTGCTGCCCCATCCCATTCTCTGGCCATGACGACGACCCTCATCAAAAACGATTTAGAAGCCGGAGCAAAGTTTTTCCTACTTTTTGGCAAATGTGCAAATAACAAATGATTTCGGATCTGCCATCACCCACTTGTAAATAAAAGTGCTCATCTCTGTGAGTGTGTGTGTGTGTGTGTGTGAGGGGGAGTGTGTGTGATGTGTGCACACCAGCATGTTTGTTTGCCTTTGTTTTTTGCTGCCCTGTCATGGCCGCATTCGCCTTTCGGCCAAATCAAACGTAAGCCACAATTAAAACATAAAACTACCAAAGCGATTTTGCCTTTGTTGTTGTCGAAGGGGGTGGGGTGTGCGAGTGTGTGTGCCTTGCTTTACACACATCAAACATTGTGTAAGCTTCTTCTTTTTTTTCGTCGGCTGTCGTCTTCAGTTCACACACAGCCCTGGGCTATAATTAGCTCGAATTAGCAGCGTCTGGCGCTGCACTTGGCAGGTGGGGTTCTGGTCCCTGACCCTTTGCCCAGTCTCCCCCTTGCCCTGTCTATGTCCCTGAACAAGCTCCTTTTTCCTGTAACATAGGACCAGGGCATTGTCCAGCCAAGGAGGAAGTTTAGGGATATCTCTTGAGTAAATCAAAAGAAAGGTTAATAAACCGAGTGTGTAGAAAATATTTAAAGAAATCTTAGGGAAACAGAGTTTAATTCAAATTTTTGAATGTAGAAATCTTATAATTAATGTAAGAAATATATTAAAAAAGCATTAGTAAGCTACTTTCACTGGGTAACTCTTTGTTGATCACTTTTCTCCCGCTTGAATGGTCTCTTCCTCGATGCCCACTCAGACGTAACCCAATGCCAGTGATGCCTCTGTCTTCTTTCGGCCAGAGCACTGGCCAATGGTGGTGGTGCCATCGACGTTGACGATGTCTTGTCATAAATCCGAGAGCACTCGCCGCCGTCGAGGCTGTCAGTAATTAGCGCACTGAACGCCACTCCCGGCAGCAACCCACAAAGCTAACGAGTCACTTTGTGAGCAAGGAAGGCTGCCAAAGAGGAGCAGCAGCAGGAGCAGGAGCAGGAGCAGGAGCAGGAGCAGGAGCAGCAGCAGGAGCAAAAACAAGACCAAGAGGAGGATGAGAAAAAGCAAAATCTGAGGCAGAGGCGTCTGCAATTAGTGAGCAGCTCTACTCCCTGTCGGTGGCAGCGCGCATTTAGTGGCGTCTCCCTACGTCAGTGCAACAAAGTGGCTCCAGCAACATGACACCGTTTTGGAGGAGGCCTTCTTCATGTACTGACGGAGTGACGCTCTGACAAACTGACGGGTTGACAGTCTCTGACGGACAGAGAGTGACTGTCTGATACATTCATTTATTCGCCGTGGTGCTCTTGGGCACGTTCTGGGTGTGCCGAGAGCAACAAACAAAGACTGCCACTCGACTTGCCAAACCAATTGGCGGTGCTCTGGAGTGCACTTGCTCCTCCTCCGCCTCTGGTCCTCGGGGAGGATGTCAAAAGTCATCACCTTTATCGGCCAAGGAATCCGGAGACTGCTTGCCAAGCCCGGCCATTTAGACGTGGCATTAGCTGTGGCAATATTATGACTCTGCAGCTGGAGATGGAGATGGAGCAAGGACCAAGGACCAAGGACCAAGGAGCAGAGGCACTCGGGTATATTGTAATTCATAATCCTGCGATTGCCAGAAGACACTGCCAGCGCCTTACTTCCTGTTGTGGTTGGCCACAGCTTAAGTGGCGTCTCCGTCTTCGACTTGGGTCGTCCTCGGCGTCGTCGTCGAAAATTGTGACATTGATTGTGTTTGTGCTTGGGCTCAGCTGGTTGGGAGAAAGTCCTGGAAAGGATCTAAGCCGTTGAGCACTGAAAATATTTCACTTGGCTGGAGCTCCAGAAGATTGCAGTGGCCATAAGCGGTCATAATTATGGTAGGAATGTGCCACTGAGAGGGATTAAAGAGAGCTGCTGAGGGGACTGGAAAATTGCCCAAGAAAAACTCGTATTTAATTCAATTCATTTTGGGTTGTTTTTTATTTATATATATATATATCTTTTCTCCACTTTGCCATATCTCTATACAATCCATACACATTCTTTTATTGGTATCCTTGCTTTATTTCGCTTAACTAAAATGTACATTACACAACGGACAGAAAACAATCTGGAGAAGCCAAGTCAATATATAATATATATATCGTATATATATAGTCAATAATAATATGTTTCCTCATATTTACAATCATTTACATGGATATTTTAAGCACATTACGAGTAGTTACCCAATCATCGTTCCCATAGCTGTACAGCAACATTCGTTTCACTTAACAGTTAGATATTTTAATTATTGTTCTCTCTGTTCGCTTCTCCTCCCACTGATTCGGTATCTGTATCTGTAACGCTTTAACGCGGTATCTGTATCTGTATCTCTATCTGTATTCTGTGACATTCTCTTTGGTCGCTGCTTGGATATTTACACGGCTGCCAGCTGCTAAATGATATACATATGTATCGAAGTCCTTTGTATAAATTCTGTAGAGTTATCTAACGTTGCCTTTTTCCTTTTCTTTATGTTTTTCCCCATTCCCCTTATACAAAAATATGCTCTTAACTTAAACGTTAGCTCCTCGTGGCCACTACAATTGCTAGACATTCGTCACACCCAGCTTGGCCAGGTTGCCCAACGTGATGGCATCTCCGGGCTGTAAACGCAGTGCCGCCTTGTAGCTGGCAGCCGCATGATTTGTCCTTCCCAGCAGATGCAATATGGCCCCCAGATTGGTGTGGGCATGAGCATCATCCGGTCGCAGAGCCACAGCCTAAAGAGGTGATATCAAGTATAGTTTAGAATGGTAATTAGGGGAAGCAAATCTCATGAGTAGACTCACCTTTCGGTACCACATTTCGGCCTCCACCTTCCTGTCCAGCAGACGCATTGCCGTGGCAGCAGCCACCACCAGAGCATAGTCCTTGGGCGCTAATTCAGCGGCTCGGCGATGATAGATGGCAGACTCATGATGTCGCGACTGCAGGGATAGGAATTCAGCTAAAAGGAGATATTAAATTTAGTACTTTAAATTGAGTTAGGTTAATGAAATCCTTGCAAGAACTCACCATAATGATGATAGACGCTGGCCTGTTCGGGTGCCAGTTGTAGGGCCCGCTTGAACCACATTTCTGCCTCCGAAGCGCGGCTGCTCTGTGGAATAGAAAGCAAAAATCTTGGATACAAATCCCAAAATACATTTAAGACCCATTCAACTTACATTTCTGGCCAAAGTGATGCCATAGGAGAGATGCGCTGCCACCTGATTGGGCTGCAGTTCCAAAGCAGCTCGATGGTGTCTTTCGGCCTCATCCCATTGCTGCAATCGTCCCAGGACATCACCTATTCGCTGATACAGGACCTCTCGTTGCTGCGGCAATCCCGGCAGCGAGGATAGGGCTTCCCTATAGATGGCCAGAGCTCTCTGCAGTTTACCTTGTTCCACGTAAAGTGCACCCAACTGCAAGTACGATGAGCTCCTGGCCTGGTCATGGGCCACACGATCTCGTACCGAGGCTCCATCCAGATTAGAGCCCGCGTGAAGGATTTCGATGGCCTGCTGGCGCTTGCCCAGCGCTATGAATGATATGCCCAGGTTGAGGTAGGCCACTGTGTCGTCGGGTGGGATAAATATGTAAAAACTAAAAAAAAAACAACTGCAAAATGGCAAACTCACCCGCCAGATTCGGTCGGAACTTAATGGCGCGCTGAAAGCACTCCACGGCCGAGGGATAGTCCTGCTGATTCTGGTGCAGGATGCCGCTGAAGCGAGAGAGCAAGAGAGTGAAAGTGTTGACATTAATAGACTGAACTTGTGTCCGCCTCTCAAGATCTAATTAGAGCATCCAAATCGGAGTGACTCGGCCTCTTGTGGGTTTCGTGGAGCGCCTAACAAGTCGAGTGCCCACCCCTGCTACTTACACAGTAAGAAATAACATTTCCAAGAAGCTCGCTTCTTTAGAATTTCAAAGGCAACCGACCTTCAGCGAAAGTGTACTTGGATTTATGTAATTAGTTTGCTGTTGGCTGCTGGCACTTTTCCCACAACATTTTCTCAAGCAAAAAAAGGGGGAAATGCAAACAGCAAATGACGGGGCGAGATGGAGGGTCCTGTTTCTCATTTCCCATTTCGAATGCAACAAGAGCAGCAGCAACTGTGGCAAAACACCAACAATAAAAGTTCGAAAGTAAAGTAAAAAATCAAATTATACAGCTCAGTGATTTTCTGGTTTCGGTGTTTGGCTCCTGCTGGTCCTTGCAACGTGTGTATGTGGAGAAATTCAGGATTCAGGACTCGATGGCAATCAGTCAAGCAAGCGACAGGCGCCGCGAGCATTGCCATTGATGATTTGATCGTAGTAAATAATGTATGTATGAGATGTGTGTATCCGCAGGATACGTTCCGGTTAGAAGCTGCTGCCATTGCCATTGATTTTCGATTAGCGCCTAGCCTGTTGAAGGGTTTCCACAGGACACACCACAGCACACATAATGGGGCAGCCTTAGCAATGTGACCTGGTTCTGAACCATTGACTCGGGGATTCCGGCATTAGCCGCGGCGACAAAGGGGGGCGGAGGAGGAGGAGTAGACATAAGGACACTGGGATCCTGGCTGAGTACAAGCAATAATCTGGCCTGCGACAAGCCCGCTGCTGCTGCCGTCTAACGTTGACAGACAGGCGGTAAAAAGGAAACCCGAAATGACGCACTGAATATTCAAAGCACACAACTCCGCCGCGCGCTCACTTTTCTTTTTGCTTTCTGCTTTTCTGCTTTGAATTTCCGCTTTTTCCAACTGCTGCTGCTGCTGGCTTTTCTTTCTTCTGTCGCATCGCGTCGCGTCGCTGCTGTGAAATATGCGCAATGAGCAAAAATGCAATGCGAACAGACAACAGACAGCAGACAAAACACAGAACCAGAAGCAGCCGAGGAGCACAGGACATTGCGGAAGAGGACAGGACAGAACAGAACAGAAACCGAACCGAACTGAAAGCGAAGAACACAGCACGCTTACAGACTTTGTCAGACGTTGACAGACGGAACGTTAGGAGTGGAGCGGAGCGGAGCGGAGAGAGAGAGTGTGAAAGCTAAGGACTTTTGTCGAGCATCCTGAATGGTACATCATGAAAAATATACACAGATATCTCCAAAGTTAAACCCAAAGATCTTAACAAGATGGAAACAGATAAAGGGGAGATGCTAAGCACTTTAAATAATTATAAGAAAGTGATATTTTCTTTATTTACTAGAATACCTTCTGGTAAAGATCAGATATTAAAACAAGGATCTAAAGAGTTTGAAAAGATTTTTAGAAATATACCATATCTTGCCCTATAAACCTTTTACTTTAATTAGTAATTAATGAAAGTGATATTTTCTTTGTTTACTAGATTACTTCTTAGTAAAGATCAGATATTAAAACAAGGATCTAAAGGGTTTCAAAAGATTCTGAGAAATATACCTTATCTTCCCCTATAAACATTTTACATTAATAAGTAATTAATAGTACGGATTAACTCTCTCCCTTCCCCCACAAATCTCATAGATTATCCAAAGAAGGAACCCCAAAAACTACAATTATCCTTGTGAAAATCCCCTTCCATTTCACCCCATTTTCTCTCTCTGTAGGCATCACAAAATGCGCATAGTTCTGCAGCGGCACGCAAATGCCCTGAGCAGGATACAAATGGGAAAGTACGCGGCGAAGGATGCAGTTTTCAGTTGGCGACTTTGGAGTAAGAGAAGGATTGGTGCGTGTCTCTAGGGAAATGCAATGCAAGGAGAGAGAAAAAGAGGGATAAACAAGGGAGTAAAAAGGGAAATGGGCTTCATTTGACAGCTTGTTCGGCATTGTGTATTGCCAGGCTAGGGGACGAAGGACGAAGGACGAAGGATGTAGTCTCTCATAACTGGAATGCTTCGCTGCATAAAATGGCCGCGCTAAATGCGCACCCAAGCGGAGTCCTGGCGATGGGGGTGAGTGGATGAGGGAAATAGTCCTTGGATGGAGAGTGGAGAACGCATGGAGAGATAATGAAAATGGCTGCCATTTATCGCATCCTGTCATCCTTTTGCCTGTCACATATGGGTGGGGGTGGGATAGGCAGCCTGTAGTAATGAGGCCAGTTCCGGCTTAAACTTTTACACAAAAAGCGCAACAACTGACTAAAATCAGAGAAAAATCAGGCAAACAACTCTTTAAATTGCTTGAAAAAATATTGATAATCCCAGGAAACTAAAGGAAAGGAGTTCCATTTTGCCTTTTCCACTCTAAACACTCTCGGTAATGGTCGCTAATGGTCACGAGTTATCATAGTTATCCCGGATATTGACTACTCACAGGTTAAAGTGCACATCCGCCATGTTGGGCCTGTAGCGAATGGCCTCCTGCAGGACCTGTTTGGCCTCCTCGTAACGTCCCTGCGAACTCAGCACACTGCCCAGATTGCCCAACGCTGAAAAGTAAAATCAAATTAGCCACCGAAATCGACACACAAAAAAAAACAGAGAGAGCTCTCTCCACTTACCCTTTGGCGGATTGATGGCAATCGCACTCCTGTACAGACTCTCCTCATCCCGCCAGTCGGCATTCCGCCGCACAGTCCTCAGGCTCATTGCAGCCAGCAGGACACTCAGGCTCAGGAGCAGGGTGCAGCGTGTGCGCTGGGAGCAGGCCATCAGTTTGGAGACCCCATAGCCAACCAGGAGACAAAAGCCCACGCTGGGCAGGTACAGCAGACGCTCGGCCACCACGAAGCCCACATAGAAGAGCAGATTGCTGGCGGGCAGGAAGGGCAGGGCCAGGAAGCTGCAGGACATGAGCAGGACGCAGGCGTGCCTATTGCCAGGCGACATCCCTTCCAGCGCATAGTCCGAGGAGCAGTGGAAATTAGAGCTGGACGAGGAGGATGAGGATGAGGCGGAGCTAGAGCTAGAGCTCGAGCTGGAGCTGGAACTGGAGCTAGAGGTGCTGCTGTTGGTGCTGTTGCTGCAGCTGCTGCTGCTGCGGGAGCCGCGGAAGGCGGAAGACACGAGGTGATGGGGCTGGCTGTGACTGGCGTGGGCGGACTGCGGCGAGGTGCCCTCGTAGACAAAGCCATTGCTGCTCTGATTATTGTTGTTGCAATCGCGGCAGGAAAGCGCGGCATCCTGATGATGATAGGCTGCCTCAAAGGCTTGGTACTTGCTGTTGGCCAATCGCTTCCGCTTGGAGCGGGACTTGCGACCGGATGATGCCACCTTCTGGATGTGATACTGGGGAAAGGCAGAGGCAGAGGAGCCGCTGGCCATGCCGCTGGTCACCTTGTGACCGCTGCTGAGCAGCAATTGGCGACAACTGCGCCACGCCACACCCACCAGCACCGAGTAAAAGCAGGCAGACTGGGCGTTCCTTCTATCCCACAACGAGGTGACCCTGGGCAGGGCATCCATGCCCCAGTCGAAGCTCAACACCTGCGGTTGCAGCAGCAGCCTCAGATTGAAGACGGGCAGGTAGAGGAAGGTCAGCAGGCGCGTCCAGGCGGAGGGAGTGCGGGCAATGGGATTGTCGGCGCTGGAGAAGGCGGTCTGTGGTCCCGGGACAATGACCAGGCGGCAGTAGATGCCACAGCAGAGAGCGCCAAGGACAAGGCAAACGGAACGAATGCGTTGCTACAAGGATATCATAGAAAATTATACAAAAATGTTAGGAAATCCTCTAAAAATAACCTCTAAAGATAAATCATTATATATAAAAATCATGGAGGTAGAACACTCACCTTATCCATCTGTCCACTAAGCCCCCGCATCACATCGAACAGGGCGCAGACCAGCAGCGCCGTGACGGCTGTCTCCTTGCAGAGTAGACCCGCCAGGGCCAGGATTAGGGTTGCTCCCAATGCCAGCCACTGGCGAGGATCGCCAGACTCGCGCCAACGCATGTGCCGGAGATAACTGAGGTACGTGAGCAGGTAGCAAACGCAGGCGGCGACATCCGCTCGCCCCACCACACCGGCCACAGCTTCCGTGTGTATGGGATGGGCGGCAAAGATGGCTCCGGCGGCCAGGACTGCCCACACGGAGGCAAGTAGAGTGCGTGCCACACGCACCACCAAGGCGGTGGCAATGCAATGGAGCAGATTGTTGACCAAATGGAAGCCCCAAGGCGCAAAGCCGCCGCCAAGCAGATAGTTGAGCCGGAAGCTGAGCACGCAGAGTGGACGCCAGGAGCCATGGGAGCCGTTATCCGTCAGCGGAGTGCCCCAAAAGTCATTGGCGAAGCTCCGTTGCCAAGGACCGCTGCCAGAGACATCTGCATTGGCCAGGATGGCGCGTCTGCAATGAAAGGATATGGGGAAATTGTTTTTTAAAGGAAGATCATCAGAATATGTAAGGATTTCTGGAGTTATATTAAGAGACTTGGGTTAGAAATCAATTTAGAATTTGTGGAATATTTCTTTAACTTATGAGCTCTTAGTAAGTCCCTCTAAGTAAACCCAGTTTCTTAACTACCTATCTATAAACCTTACAATATATCGCCTTAGGACAGTTGAAAAATTGAAAACTCTTATAGCAAGTTTCCTGGAGTTTTCAACTCCCTTTGAGTGGGAATTAAGTGCTCGAGTTGTGTGTCTTTCAACGACGTTTTTGCCTGGCAACCTTTGTTCAATCATTAAGGTCATTCCCACACACACACACACACACACACACATGCATTTATTGTGCACATTTTCAGCCGCAGGCCAGCCTGAGGTTAAAGCCAAACTGAGCTGCATCTCCATGTTGTCACTGATGGCATCATCATCAGCATCGGCATGGAGAGCCACACGCATGGAACACTCTTCTGCAAGAATACACTGTGGGAAAATGAGGCTATGTTTTATTTAAGAAATTTGTTAAATAATGAGCTCTAAGCAGATCGTTAAGAAGTCCAAAAATCTTTGATAAGTTACAAAGGAAAAATATGTGAAAGCTAAAAGAATAGGTTACCCTTATTCGCTTTTCAAAATTCCTACAACTATTTTACTCTTCTTAGTTTCTCCTACTTTAGTTTCATTGTAAACCCCCTTTATTTTTCGCTGTGTACAAGGACATCAGCAACTACAATTCTGAGAAGGACTTCCACTACAATGCCAACATCATCGACTGCTATCCTGTTGGCTTTTCCCAACACAAACACACTTCAGTCACACACACACACACAGTGACTCGTGCCTGGCTTGCATTTTGGTCTTTGGCGGGGAGTCCTGCTCCTGCCAGTCCTCCTCCCCCCCCTCCCCTTTGCATTCTTACCTGTGCCACCTGTGCCACCTCTTTGCACGCACGGCAGGCGGACTTTTGTAGGATTTTGGCCGGGTGTTCGTGACAACGACGACGGCGGTGGCGATGCCAGCAGCTCGTATATCATGGGAAATGCCGATGCGGCGGTGGCCTGTGCCGGCAGCTCCACCTGCCCAGCTTTCCCACCATAAACAAATGCCACTCTAATGCCGCATAAAGTCGCTGGAGAGCTACAGAGCTGGAAGCGCCTTCTTGTTCCTTGGGTTGAAATTCGATTTTAAGCACCAACGGAATTCCATTGCAGCATCAAGGCATGCCGCAGGCGACCTTTTACCTTAACATTATCCTTATATATTTTGTATTTTTGTGTAATTTTGTGCCTTCTCTTGAAGTATTTCCTATCGCAACTTTAATAAATTTGCCTGGAAGCTTGAATGTTCCTCTCCCTTACATGAGCTTCCCCCTAAATCTGGGTGATAATGACTCTTACCTGTCGTCGTAGACGAAGCCGGCATTCAGAGTGTTCAGATACAGGATGAAGGCCAGGCTGCAGCAGAATAGACAGGTGTAGTCCATGCTGGAAGAGAAGAGAGTAGGAATAATCGATTAGTAAGGAGTAGAAGAGATTACAGAAGACAGAAATCATATTTGTGTTGGTTTATTAAGGGGGGAATATATTTGGATTTCAATGGGAATGGTTAAAGCGATTAATTGACTAATGGGAAATATCAGTAAATATTAGTTTAAGGTTTCTTTGAAGGAAAGTTGAATAGGAACTTAAAGACTCTAGACTCTCTCTCTGTGTGGTGGATTTACTTTCTGTATCATACTTTCCATTACAGATATTTTGCTGCCTGCCTGCTGGCAGCAGCTTTTCCTCTGCTTTTCCTTTACTTTTCCTTTACGTTTTTACTTTGCCTTCCGCTCTTGGCTTGACATTCCTTTCAGGGCGGCAATGCAATGCAGGTAGATTGCATTCATGACTTCCTCCTTTTTGGCGCATTGTCATTGGTGTGTGTTGTGTGTTGTCCGAAAGGACTCTGTGACAGTCCTGTGGTTCTTGTTGGTCTTGTCCTGCTGTTGCTCTGGCTTGTTGTTGTTTACTGGCCGTTGATGATGTTGCTACAGCCATTACACATAATGAGAGGCAGCAGTCTGTTGCCATTGCCATTGCCTTTGCTGTTTCTGTTGCTGTTGCTCTTGCATTTGCTTATCCCTCAACATACCCTGCCCCCCAATTTCAACCCGATTTCCGACCCTTTTCTCTGTTGCTCTGACTCTATACATGCACATTTGTTGCTGCGGTTGGCAACGTCAACAACGTCCTCCTGCTCGTCCTGCTCGAACTTCTCCCCCAAAGGATACAACCCCCCTTTTGTGCGCCAACAGCATCGTTGACATTAAGAGTCGCCGGAGTTGCAGACAATAAAGGCTATCAACAAGCCTTGCCTGCGATGTGTGTAGGTGTAGGTGCGTAGCTATACTCGTTGGCTTTTCCAGCGATTAATGAACACACTCAGCATCCAGAGAGTCCTTAGGTCACATTAAACCATTCCCTAAACTCACATAGATAGAGTTTATTATTTAACAAGAAGGGAAGCTAGCTATGTATGTTAAAAAACAAAGAAGTAATACCTGCTTTTGTTCCATTCACCTATTCATATTATATTTACAGATTTGCATTTTTTCTCTACTATATTTCTAACGATCGTTTCCATGACACCTATATGATATAGTCGACCTACTTTCATAAAATTTGACTCAATTTTTAAGACTAACATAAAATGGGTATATCTCAAATTTGATGAAAATCTGTTGAAAACTGAAAATGTTATAATTTTTAATTGTATTTATTTCTTGATCGTTCCTATGGGAGCTATATGATATAGTCGTCTGATCTGGCCCGTTCCGACATATATACGAGTGAGAGTATATAGAAGACTAACTACAAAGTTTCATTCAGATAGCTACAAAACTGAGAGACTAGTTTGCGTAGAAACGGACAGACGAACATGGCTAGATTGACTCGACTGTTGATGCTGATCAAGAATATATATACTTTATATGGTCGGAGGTGCCTCCTTCACTGCGTTGCAAGCTTCTGACTGGAATTATAATACTCTGCAAGGGTATAAAAAGGTAAAATTGAATGTGAAACTCTTTAATAATTTAATAAAAATATTTGTATTTATTTAATAAGCTTAAGAAAGCTACTTTATTAAACTCATCAAGTTTCTGTGTCTCTTTGTGCTCTATTAATTAAATCCTGTCCCATTTTTACTATTTATAAGCTAACCCTGCATATCATTCCCATTTGTATTCCTTAGGAACTAGTTCCTTTGAGCAAACCAAAATTGCGCAACACCAGCGCTTTTCCTTTAGTTTTTCCTTTCCTTTATTTTCGGTCTTGTACATGCGAGTAATAAGCAGTTGGCTTAGCGAAGCCTTAGGTCTCCCAAGGAGCAAAAGGAAGAGAGGTTGGGCTTAGGAGGTCCTTCGCTAAGTCGGCATAGTTTTGTCGACGTTGACACACTAAGGAAAATAGGGAGAGAGAGTGAGAGATTTGGCATTATGCACAAGGAGACCGGGCCGGGCACCGGCTTATGGCCAAATTAGCAGCATTCAATATGCGAGTAAGCCGCAGAAGCAGAAAGGGAAAATGGGGAAAATGGGGAAATGGGAAAAGCGAAAGCAGAACACATACACACCAGCCCAAAAATTGCTTTGCTAATGAGCCATAATGATGAGCTCAGAGCTTAGATCCTGTGAGTTGCTTCTGCCTTTCTTTTGTTGGTGTTTGCCTGATTGATTCGCCTGCAGTTACCGCCTGTTTCCAAGCCATTGACTGCTTTGCTCGGACCTCCTATCATTTCCAGCTTGTCAACTCATTTGGCGAGCGACTCGCATACCAATTATCCGCAAATAATTGCCCACAACTTGAGCACTTTATATGTTATAAGAAGAAGGTCCTTTGTTTGCTGGTCGTACATGGTCTTTCCTTCCTTCCGCTCAATCTTGCTACACACATGGCGAAGGAGGGCCTGGCCTTAGTCTTGGCCATAAATCATGTTTTATTTTCGTAATTAGCCGAGGCACACCACATAAATAACGGGCTTTTCATTGTCTCAATTTTCGTGGGAGTGTGCTGGCTTTCTTGCTTGTTTTTTTATTTGTTTGCCTATTTAACAGTTTCAGGTTTATTGTTGATTAAATTTCCACTTTGTCTTATTACTTGCGTGGCACTTTAAACTGTTTGCCAAGTTGCCACTTGCCATTGGCCATTTTCCCTAGCCATTCCCCTTGCTTTTCCTGTCACTTTCCACTCTCTCCTCGCACTTTTGCTTTTCTATTTTTTATTGCCTGCCACCTGCCACCTGCCATCCTTTGCCGCTGACCTAGTAAATTGTGTCGTCTAATGGTTTTTTCTTTTTGTTTTTTCTGGCTTTGCGTTTGTTTGTTGTGCCTTTGACAGTTTCCGCTTCCGCTGGCCAGGTGGGTTTCCCTGTGTTTTTTTCACACTTTCCCACTAATTCGAAGGTCGTCTGTAACCCTTTGGGTGCCTCGGATGCAGCCGAATCGATCCAGGGTCACTTTGCAGGCCACAATTAGCCAACAGGGGAGTGGACTTTTGGGTATTAAAATTCTAAATTAATTGCCTAAAGTGTCAAGAGCAGTATGGAAATTAGGAAGCGGCCTCTGGAGACTAATAGACGTGAAATTTAAGCGCATTGAATTAATTTTCCTACTCTCCCTCACGAATAAAGTTATTTGGGGTAGCAGCAAAAAACTATAATTAATAGGCGTTTTTATTTCACTTTGCTTGATTATGCATAAAATTAATTATATGCCGACACCTGCGGCCAGCTGGAGTTGGAAGTTTGGCCCTCTGGAAAAAGGGGTTAACCAACTCCCCCAACACCTGCTGTTTTTTCTGTTTCGTTAGTTTTCTAGCTCCCCAAAAGGTGAGCAATCATTTCCCGCTTAAATTGCTGTCGAAGGGGAGTAAGCCTGCCAGGAAAAAGTGAAAGTTTATTATTATGCGGTATGCAGCCTTTTTGGCTGGGGCTTTGCACTGCATTTTAAATAAGCCACCAGACAAAAAAAAAATAAATGCAGTTTAGCTTAGTTTTTCGCTATGCCCCCGGGCTCTATGGCCCAAACCGGACATCAAAATAATGAACGGAAAGGCAGCCATTTTGGGAAAGTACCGTTAAAATGCCGAAAAACGTTTTAAAAATGAAACGATTACACCATTGCGGCTTGCAAACGACCAAGTTATGATAATGTTTGGCCAACTAAACTCGTTTAGCCTGCCAAATACGAATGCATACACCCCGCAAGGACGATGTGTATGTGGTGTGTGTGCGGATGTGCTAGGTAAGCCGCCCAGCAAGTGCGCAACACATGCAAACCAGTCCGGAATCCAAAGTGAAGAGAGTGCACCCAAAATGGAGTCCCAGCCTGACTTTCCGGTCAGCTTTTCGTTGGCCCTCTCACTGCTGCCAATATTTTTTGAGGTATTTTGGGAAAGCCCAGTTCGAGCTTTGTGGGTGTCTTTGGTTGCCGAGAGGGTTGTTGGACTCGAAATTCGAGTGCAGTATGAATGCTTGTGCGGTAAGAGAAAAGTTGGGAACATTGGGAGAAAATTGCGGAATTTAATCAGATTTTTAATCAAATCTATTTTCCAAATTAAACAACTTTGTATCACTAAAGGAGAAAGTGAGGAATCTATGGGATTTCTTTAAGAAATGGATTGAAGAATACAAAAACTATTAATAAGGATAAAACAAGGATTAAGGAATCGTTCAAAGATCGTTTAAACTTGTTTAAAAATAAATTAATATTTGAAGAGATTAATAAAAGTTGATATGTATCTCATATTCGAGGTTTAATTTGTTCAATATGAAGAAGATTCATAAATAACTTCACAGCGAAATTTTTACTTTCGACATAGTAAAAGCAAGCAAGCATAAAGAAAGCACCTCCTAATTCCATTTTAAGATCATAAAATGTTACCCATAAAACATATATATTCTTTCAAAATATTTGAAAAAAGCTAATTTATTATCTCTAAAAAGAAAACCCTGGAAAATCATTTCCTAAACTATTTCTTGTAGTGTCCGTGAGTCGAATTCGACGCCAAAGCCAGTAACAGAGTCAGACTTTTGGCAGTTTTATGCTAATCACAAAAAGGCAGTTTTCCGCCCACACACACACACACTCTCTCCTACACACACATACTCCCACACACACATATGTGAAGGCGTGGCCTGGTGTTTGAGGAAAACTTTTCATATTTCGGAATCCTGGGCCCTGCAGTAAAGTTTTCCATTCGCTTTGGGGGCCTTTTTTGCTCGAGTTTCGGTTTTATAACTCGTTGAACATTTGCCCAACAGTTTGTACAATTGCAATGCCGTCGTGGAAAACCTGTCGGTGAAGCGGCTTTTCCAAGGAATTATGAAAGTGCCGCAGTTCCGCTTTTTGGGGGCTCAGATTGTGTCGGAATTTGAATGCGAAGCTGATTTTGGATCGAAAAGATTAGTGGCAAATACTTGAGGAGATATGTACGTATGTATA